AGTTACAGGAGAGTCACAGGACGTTTGCGAAACGGGTTTCACGCCCAAATCTGAGATTTTAAAAAGTTTTAAATGAAACACACATTCATGTTTTATAAAATACAAATTTGAACTGAGTTAAAAGCTAAAATGTGAGACATTTTACGTTTTCTTTGTGCCGCAATCTCAGAACCCCAAGCGAACGAATTCTTTCCATGGTAAGGGCAGCTTTGGTGGAAAAGTTTGAGATATGCTAGCTGAAGGCACCCTGATCCTAGGAAGCTTCTGAGAAAACGAAAACATGTTGACTGGCGGAGGTGAGGGAACGTTTACATTCCCTGCCAAATGTGAGCACTTGAGGACAGATGGATTTATGAGCTTCGAATCGCCCGGCACAGAGCAAATACTTGAAGTAAGGAGAGGCTGGAAGAACAAGTCTGATTGAATTCTGGGAGTGTAGAAACCATTTCCGCTGAGCAACAGTGGGAATGTGCCTCAGTGGGACATCAGAACGTCATATGTGAGGGGTGGGGCTACTAAAGAGGTCATCTTTTCCTTCATCGACCATTTATTCTCCACCCTACACCGCTGTTCAAAGAGCTTTTCCAGGCTCCCTTGGGAGCACAGAGAATGATCACGGAGACCTGATTTACGAGACAGCAAAGCATGAGACCCCCTGCTCTCCCCAGTCATGACAGACTGAGCCATCAGTGGATGCTACGCCCCAGGCGATGCATTTGGAATGTATTTGTGTGTATGAAACAAAACAAAACAAAACGAAACAAAAGCAGGAATGTCCTTTTTCAGGAATATGCAACTTGGGGTTATAGATCTGATTTTAGTCAATGTGAACCAAAGACAATCTAAAGCAGGAAGTGGTGGTGGCCGCGTGCAGACCAAAGCAGCGAAAGCCAGTCTGCCCAAAGGGAAAAGACAAAACCAGATGTGCAGGGAGAAGCAATCAAGAGAACACAACAGCTCGAGAGAGAGAGAAAAACAGGGACTTCTGAGTTCTGGCCCCTTGTGAAGCCTGGCTGTTTTGTGAAATACCTCTACAGCTTGCCCTTAAGTTCCCCTCTTTGCTTAAGCTGGCTGGAGCGGGTTTCATTCTTTGCTACAAAAGCTGACAAAGACAGTGATCAGAAACCAACATCACCTGGGTGTAGAGTACCACTCACTTTATCATCCTAGCTGGGACACTCAGGGTGCCGTTCATAATTAGATTGACATGACAGGAAAACCAGGAGGTATAGCCATCCTTCCCATGTGGTCAAGAAAGGAAACAAGGTGCTAACGGCTTGTATTTTTCAGGCACTGTTTGCCTCTTGAATCTAGGCTACCTCATCTGATGGCTCAACAGTCCTATCAAAGCTTGTCCTGTCTTGGAACAGGAACAATAGCTGGAGAGAGAAGACGCACAGGTAGCCGATGGGAGAGCCAGGAGAGGAACGCATGTCTAGCTGACGATGATGATACAGGAAAAATGAGGGGTGCAAGAGGATGGCCGTGTCCCAGGTCTCAGACGAATTCCTGGGATGCACCCCACCAGGAGAGAGTTCTTGGCTTCATACAGGAAAGAATTCAGGAGTGAGCTATATTTGAGCAAAGGTAGATTTATTCAGAGAGATACAGACTCCATACACAGAATGCAGGTCATCTCAAAAGGCAAGAGGAAAATGCACGAGGTGCTGGGTTGTTGGTTTTTAAGGGCTTGATAACTTCATATGCTAACAAGTGGGAAGATTATTCCAACTACTTTGGGGAGGGGGCTGGGGGTCCCAGGAACTGGGCCATCCCCCACTCTTTGACCTTCTATGCTCAGCCTTGAAGCTGTCCTGGCACCTGTGGGAGGGCCATTTAGCAGCTATTGTATTTTAATTGGCGTATATATTGAAGCTCAAGGTCTACTGGGAGTTGACTGTTCCACCATCTTGGTGCTAATTGCTGTGTCATTCTTTTAATGGCTGTGCCCTGCCCCCTTCCCTCCTATCTCAATGGGGTCTGCTCTAACCTGGTTTTCTTCCTCCATAACTTGGCCAAGGGCTCAAACTACTAGCCCAGAGTTCTCACATCAGCACCATGGGATGTTTGACAGCCATGATCAGTGTAGAGAAACACACACAACCCCACTAATCGCTCGGAATACCCACGTCCACCGTATTGACACAGGGACCATGTTCTTGTTTGAGATGCCTTTCAGTTGGAAAAGCACACACAACGAAATCTCCACTAGCAAAGACGGAAATTGAAGCAATTTTGAGACAATTTAGGAGGAGCCCCATTTTCACCTGAGTTACCTGAGCAGCCCAGGACACAAAAGATTAGGGCTCAGACTTTTTCAGATAATTGCTTGTTTTCCTGGTTTAGCAGGTTTAACTGTGGCTTGCTTTTCTGAGCATGTATTGTCCTCACACACAGTGAACACACGCCGATTTCTAGGTAAGAGCTGGGTGGCAAAAGAAAGGGGTGATGGGAGAGTAGAACCTGAATTCTCATTAAGACTCAGGTGAAAAAGTCTCTTCATTAAATTTAATGGGATTCCAGTTTTATTTCTACTGGAATGCCACACATAACGGGAAAACGATTAGTTTCAAGGTCTATATCCCTTTTCTTATCAGGCACTGCTAGCCCCTAGGGCTAAGCCAGTCACCATCAAGCAACTACCTGATGGTTGGGGCTTCTGGGATTTGCTAACCATTGTAGGGAGCATGCCAGATTCTTTCTGAGTCAGAAAAAGGGATCGGTTACTGCCAACTGCCAACTGCACCCACCTGCTTCTCCTCGGTAGGGGGTAGACTGCCAAGATAGTAATTATGTCTTAATTCAAGGCGACCTGACCTAGATTGGCAGGGAGAACCACTTTTAGAGCCACTGCCAAGTCTGCCCTTGGTGGTCTGCTCACAGAAGGTGTTTCACTGTCATCCTGACCTTGTGAGAAGGGAAAAGGGTGATGGGAGAATTGGCAAGGAAGGTGTGGCATGGGCAGGGGAGCAAAACTTGGGTTGAGGAACAAATACAACCACATGATGCTATGTATCCCAAGGGCGAAAGTCCCACCTCCTAGACTGTGGCCCTGATCCTCTGTGGCCGAGACCACCTAAGAAATATTGCTGGGTTTTTGCAAGTTATTTGGAGGCCAGGAAAATACATTTGACATGTGGTAAACCTTATTGAACCCTGTAAAATGGAAATGTGACTCCTTTTTTCACTGTAATGATCTGTTGTTTGAAAAAAATAATCCCTTTAAAGAAAAGGAGTGTAAAACATGATTGGATTTCGAAGTACTTTATGGACTATTTATTGTAGCACCCTTGGTGTGATGTCACAACTACTCAGCATTTTACTGGCTTTTTCAGTGCACACAAAATGCTACCACCACAATGAAGGGAATTTACAGTTTCTCTTTTGAATTGTTTAAACCCTTGAGAATTATTAAAGTGCTAGTATTATTTTCCTTCCTCTTTCTCCACCCAACTCCCAATTAAAAGGAAAATTTTTTGGATTAAAAAAGTTTTATTGATTATTGAAGTATAGTTGATTTTCAATATTGTGTTAGTTTCTGAAGTACAGCAAAATGATTCAGTTATACATATATATACAAATTCTTTTTCATATTCTTTTCCATTATGGTTTGTTGCAGGATGTTGAATTCAGTTCCCTGTGTTATACAATAAGAACTTGTTGTTTATCTATTTTATATATAGTAGTTTGTATCTGCTAATTCCAAACTCCTGATTTATGCCTTCCCCTGACCCCTTTCCCCTTTGGTAACCATAAGTTTGTTTTCTGTATCTGTGAGTCCCTTTTGTAACTAAGTTCACTTGTGTTATATTTTAGATTCCACATATAAGTGATATCATATGGTATTTGTCTCTCTCTTTCTGACTTACTTCACTTAGTATGATAATCTCTAGGTTCACCCATGTTGCAGCAAATGACATTATTTCATTCTTTTTAGTGACTGAGTAGTATTCCATTGTGTGTGTTCCACATTTTCTTTATCCAGTCATCTTTCAATGGACATTTAGCTTGCTTCTATGTCTTGGCTATTGCAAGCCCACTTCCTGATGATGGCCATTCTGACCAGTGTAAGATGATATCTCATTGTGGTTTTGATTTACATTTCTCTAGTTATTAGTGTTGTTGAGCATCTTTTCATGTGCCTATTGCCCATCTGGCTGTCTCTTTTGGAGAAATGTCTATTTAGGTCTTGTGCTCATTTTTTGATTGGGTTGTTTGGGTTTTTGTTGTTGAGTTGTATAAGCTGTTTGTATATTTGGAAATTAAGCTCTTTGTTGGTCACATTATTTGCAAGTATTTTCTCCTAGTCTGTAGGTCATCTTTTATTTTATTTATGGTTTCCTTTGCTGTGTAAAAGCCTCTAAGTTTGATTCGGTCCCATTTGAGAAACAACTTTTTTAAATTAGCGAAATACATAGCCCCAATATATGTGTGCACAGTGTCTTTTGGTGGTTTGCACTTAGAAGACCAATACAGACCGATAGATAAATAGCCCTGGTTGGTACTCAGTAACCAGTGTCATCTGTTCTAGCAGCATAAAATATAATGAAATTGGAAACAGAGTGACATAAAACAGCAGTTGAATATAGAGGTTCATAAAGCACAACTTGTAACTGGGAGATGAATCCCCTCACCTGAAGTACGATTACTCCGTATCACTTTTTCCTCTATGAATCCACTTTTCTTAATTATTCATAATGGACCTCAAATAAACACTATCTTTTTATTCAAAGATGCAATAATAACTTCCCCACAGAATAACCGTTAAGTGGTTTTTCCTGAGGACTTTGAATTAATTTCACTTTCTGGGAAATCACTGTTTTAAATCTAGTTTTCTTCCTGGTGGTCAGAATGCAAACGTCATTACAGAAATGTTTTTCCTTTGTCCCAGTTTTCTTTCCTAATATCAACTCTGACCTTTAAGTCGGATAAAAATCATATTAGTAGAGATGACTGTTTTTTAAAAAGAGCCTTTTATTTATTAGTTATAATGATATAGTTTTATAATGGTATCAGTTGTCCTGGAGGAACTGCATTTTGTTTTTAAATCATATGCAGTGATGGCCTGAACGTGTAATGTTGGTACATTTTCTGAATCTTAAAGGTATTTTTTTCTATTCACTATTTCTCCAAAATTTTAAATCTTGGTCAGAGAACTGAACTGATTGTTTTGTTGCAAGAGGTGAGAGAAAGGGGGAAAAAACTAATCAGAGCAGAAGTGTGGTTAAAAATGTTATATACAGTTACGTTAGAAATTAAAGACAGGTTCAAGCTGAGGTTGAGCAGTTTTTAAAGCAGTCCTTTTAAGTTTTATTGCAGCATTTGGGCTGTCAATTTGCTATACCTATTTATACTCTGGTCTTTCTTCAGCCATTAACAGCTGGCCAGCTGCTCACTTGGGCCCTGCGATCGTTAGCCAGGCAGGCATGGTTACCTTTGATGCCTTTTAAAAGAATCATGTCTAAAAAAAAACACTTCACAAAGCTTTTGAAAAACAAAAGTTCTCAAATACATTGGCTGACATTTCTCTCCTATTAGATTCCTGGTACTATATATATATATATATATATATACACCTTTAAAAAATCAGAGGATGCAGCCAGTTCTCCAAGCACTGACCCTTTCCACAGCTGTGGTTTGGCAAGTACCCTGGAGATTCCGTAGCTCAGAGGCCGCATGTCCTGAGCGAGTACTGTTCTCCTTAGCAGCTGATGCGTTATACCACACTGAGTCTTCTTCCTGCCCCTCAGACATTGTCTAGTGTGGGCATTGCACCCCAGGGAACCAAACATGAAGGTTTCATTCACTCATTGAAATACTGCTCCATGAACCACCATCTCCATCTTGCTGCGCCAGGCACATGGGCCGACATGTGTGTGCCTGCTTAATTTCTCTGGGCTAGAAAGTTGCTAAGAAGAAGCAGAGAGCCAGTAGCTGCGAGCTCCTGGTTCTAAGGTTTCTCTAAATAAACGTTTGGCAGCACAACACGTTTTCTGTCTCATTATTTTCTAGTATTCATTTTTTTAATGCATACATTATTCTAAGTCAGACAAGGGATTTTATTCAACCAGCATGGGGTTCTATTCTTGCTGAGAAAGCAGACAAAACCCAATTTTCAACTTCGATAAGGAAATGCAACTTAAGTTCTAAGTCAACACTCTCGAGACACCCCCCAGAAAGTTGGCCAGAGTGTGGTTCAAGCTCAGGGAAGGTGAGAGGCTGACTCTAGAGGCTGAGACTGACAAGACTGGTCCAGTCAAGGACAGATGCCAAGCGTGGGGAAGGACGGCCTGAGTTCTGGACTTTTCAAGGTGAACTCAGAGCCTCAAAGAAGAAATGATAGGGGGAGGGTATAGCTCAGTGGTAGAGCATGTGCTTAGCATGTACAAGGCCCCAGGTTCAATCCCCAGTACCTCCATTAAAATAAAAATAAATTTAAAAACCTAATTACCTATCCCCCTCAATTTTTTTTTGAAAAATAAAAATAAAAAAATAAAAAAATAAAAAGCAAAACAAGATTATTTCAATCCTGTTATTTGCAGATAGTTTCTTGCAGGACAATGTATACATGGCTCCAAAGACAATCCATAGTGGACTTATTCACTCGTCGAGAAGACTCAAAACAGTTGAAGCAAGCCAGCATTGTTTTATCAAGGATCTCTCAATCAGCGGAGTTAAAAGATGTGGGATGGGTTAGGGAATCTAGCCCACTTCCCCAGTGCTCGTAGGCACAGGCAAGTAAACGTCTACTCTCAAGGGAGGATTATTTTGAAACAGAGTTTGGGTTCAGACTAAACAGGTGCAGGGGAGCTCTTCAATCAGAGGTTCTGCAAGAGTGAGCCGAAGGATAAGAGACGGCCTGCGGTGGGGTCATAAACTGCCCATTGGGCTTTGTCCTAGCTTCCAGGTGCCGAGTGACTGTAGAAGCCAAAAAGAAGAGAGTTTTAACCCCCTCCTCAATGACTAAACAAAAGAACTATTAAATATTATAAGCTAAGAGATTTTTCATACATAAATCATCATGCTGTATTTCTCTCGGTATTTACAAGCTAAGGATTCTTTCAACTGCTATGCATTCTAGAGGCACCAAGGTCAACACGCAGAAAGGAGAGGTGGGGACAGGCTCGTGTCACCCTGCCGCCCTCCTCTCAGTGCTGAAGGTCTACCTCTTCTTTGACCTCTACGGTTCAGTGTTTTGCCCCATGATGCTGTGGTAGGCAGAATGATGGCTCCCCAAAGATGTCCAGATCCTAATTCCCAGAACCTGGGAATATGTCACTTTGTGTGGCAAAAGGGATTTGGCAGATGTGATAAAGTTAAGGACTTTCTGATGGGGAGATTATCCTGGATTGTCATCTTATAAGGAAGAGAAGTGTTACCCCAAAAGGGGAAGGGAAAAACCTCAGTTCTTGTCTTACCCACCCTGCAGAAAGAATTCTGACAGGAGATGGAAGTGATGTGTAGCGAAAGATTTTAAAGTTTTATTAGTAGAGCAAAAGTACACCTCCAAGAATGGGAGGTGAGCTGGTCCAAGGGACGAAGGCAGTGGTCTTTCTTTTGCCCCTTCTCTTACACCCTTGCTTAGAGGTGGTCTCTTGATTGACGGCTCTTGCCCCTGGAGCGCTTAGTCATGCTCGCCCCCTTTTGTGCCTGTCCTTACCCATGATGCACACAGACAAACCCATGGAGGGGGCTGCTAAACCGCAATGTGGATTATATTACAGTGAGCATTGAGCCATGTTCAGTTAGGTTCTTGTTGCTACCACACAGTCACAGCCGTCAAGTTCTAACCGGCTTCTTGCTGGCACTCATTTAGAAGTAAAGCCCTTTTATGCTGGAGGCGGGCATACCACCATCTTCTGGATCATCCTCCCTCTCCTCCACTTTATCTGCCAGATGCCCCCACTTATCTAACTACCTAACAGAAGGAGGCAGGAGAGTCAGAGAAAGAGATGTGACAATGGAAGCAGAGGGCAGAGTGATGCAGTGGTGGGCTTGGAAGATGGAAGAGGGCCACAGGCCAAGGAATGCAGGCAGCTGGAAAAGGCAAGGGAATGGATTCTCCCTTAGAAGCTTCATGCCAGTACCTCAATTTCAGCCTAGAAGACCCATTCTCTGACTTCCAGAACTGTAAGAAAATAAGTTTGTATTGTTTGAAGCCACTAAGCTGGCGGTACTCTGGTACAGCAACCATAGAAAATTAATCCAATGCCTCATCACATATCTATGAGCAGAGGAAGAGTCATGGGGTTCTTAGCACCTCTGGTGGTTGATACCTGGGGATTCCAGGTCTAACAGTGCTAGAGACTTGAGTACTGACCACTGAGGCTTTATTCCTCTGGAGGGGCAGTAGCCTTCCTTGGACCCTCAGCTTCTGATCCTGTGGCTCCAAGGAGGTGCACGGAGGAGTTTGTGTCCCTAATTTCCTCATGTTCGTGTTTATCCTTTGGGCTTCAGTGGCATCACCCAGCTCATGGCGTGTGGTGTGCGATTTCTCCTGAGAGGACCTGAGAATGTTTCTTGGTGCCGCAGTAAGGGTTTTGAGTCAGCGTGGGTGATGCGTGCCATGGTGACATTCTGAAATTGGTGGCAGTCTGCATCATTCACACAGGTCATCACCGATTCCTAAATAAGCTTCTCCTCAGCAGAATACCCAATGAAATAGCTCTCCTGTCCACTTTGATCAAGCTGTCTCGCATGGCAAGATAAAGACAAACCAGGTTCTTTGAGTCTTCCTTATAAATTGGGGCCCAATCTCAAGATTATGGATCTTTCTTATTCCTTAGGACATTTAAATATATCCATAATGGTATGGGGGATGTTATGATGGGCCAAAACCCACCTGCAAGGTTCCAGCCTGGACTGGGCTCTTCCTGAGACAGTTGGGAGAAGCCAGACTTGAATGTGCTCATCATGACGCTATCAGTCCACTGTCAGAACCCAAATCACTGCTCTCGCTTCGCCAGAGCTGTAGCCACTGAAGGATGCATTGATATTTCTTAAAAAGCTCTCTGGATGACTCTAACACATAGTAACACAGGCAAGGTTACAAACCACCATTCCAAGAGCTTTCTGTATTAAAAGTGTTATGATAATGACTTGTTTTAATCCTCAAAATATCTCTGTAAGTTAAGTGCCATTAATATCACCATTTTCTTGAAGAAGAAAGCAAAGCATGAAAAGGTCACTTAATTTGCCCAAGGTCACACAATAAACAAAGGACAAAGATGAGATTCAAACCCAGACTCCTAAGCCTGAAACATATGGCTTCCCCCTGCCTTGTGCAGAGTTGAATCCTAAGCACAGGGCAGAAGGCAGAATCCTATTACCTAACAAATGCTTGTTGAATGAGTAAGTGAAGGATTAAGTGGAAAACAAAAGCTATTTGTGAAATAGGTTTTCAATTTAAATATTGATGGGTGTGGGTCCAGTATTACCTTTTAATTTACAAAGTGCTTTTATGCACTGTTTATATGTTCATTCATGAATTTTTTTCTCTAGACCTTAACTTTTAATTTTAATTCTTAAAAGTCTAGAACAACACACTAAAAGAAAAAAATAGTAGCATTTTAATCTCCAAATCCATGAAAAATGATCGTTTATTGAGTACTCCTGTATTCTAGGATTCTTAGGTAAGTTCCAGAATTACAGTTTTATTTTAAATAACAGTATTTCTTATATTAAGAAATTCATTTTTAGATAGTCCAGAGCTAAACTAAAATGATTCAAATACATAAATTTGATTTGATTCCACTTTTAAAATACTGATTTGCCTTTTAAAAAAATCTTCACTTTTATAATGTAGCATAAATATACATTTCATCCTCAGGATCTTTAAAATAGCAACAACGTCACCTGCCTGATCATTTAATGATAGAAGGAAAGGGACTTGCTTCTGGTTCTACGTAAACTGAAATTCCCTTTAATTTTAGGGGAAGTAAGGAGGCCAGGAAGGGGACCAATTTTTTTTTTTTAACATTTAGAGCAGTTTGTTACATGGTGGAATTTATTTTTCCTGTGAAAATATAAGAAACTCAGGAGATGCAAAAGCTGGTTTTGTACAAACTGCTCATGCACTAAAATAAGAATGGAAAGTAGAGGAAAAGTAGGACAGTAATTGCAAATTGCCTTTTATGTTGTCGTTGAAGGCACTTTCCTGTTCAATAATTTTAATCAAGAAAGCCCCCTAGCCAACCCCCTGATCAGTATGAGCATAATTCAAGCATTATACACATTTTTTTCGCCTTGGGTTTAAACCTTCACGGTTTCAAATTATGTTCTCGTGTCCTGCCAAGACTTAGATCAGTCTACTGGAGTTAAAAATTAGACTCCAAAGCAACTAGAAGTTTATATTCTTCCTGTTTCAAAACAAAATTCTATTTACAGTCACTCTGTCATTATTTTAATTTTTAAATTCAGCCAGTCATTAGTAGAATTATAGACCACTCAGAGAGATAAAGTTCAAATTAACTTTGTGGTATTTTCTTCTCCAAATTCTCAGTTAAATTTCTTTAGACATGGGTTCCCAGCCTGTAGGATGTAGGTCTCTGAGGCGCCAGGATGTTAATGTGGGGGGTTCCCAGCTTCCTGGACAGCTTTCCCTGAGTAGCAGAGATCACACACATAAATGCATTACCGTCCTCCAAACAGTGCAAGAGGATGTTGATGTGATTTATACAACTCCAATCATTCAGAAGTCCTAGTTATGTCACTATAACCGTTTATCATAATGTCTCCTCAGTCGATAGACAATTGCTTTGGGGGAAGATTGGTTTGGTTTTTTTTTGAAGTGTAGTTGATTTACAATATGAGTTTCAGGTATACAGCAAAGCGATTCAGTTGGGTTGGCATTGTCATATTTCTTGCAATTAAAAAGAGGTCTTCACAATTAAAAAATTAAAGTGGATACATAACTAGAGACAACAGTCACATCGGTGGTCACCTCTTCTGATAAAAGTACGTAGAGACAGCAGTGAGCGCCTCCCCAGTTGTCACGAGACCCACGTGCTTCTCTCTGGTCATGGTGATGTGGTGATAGCCCTGGGCAAATAGCTCCAAATATCTGTCAAAAAAATTATTAAAGAAGACAGTTTAGCTGATACAGACAAACCTGATTTGACACTATACCAATAGACAGTCTCCTTTTCGAGAACCACCTAATGGGGTGGAACGGGGGAAGATTTTACAGGATAAGGAATAAAGAAGAGGGATTGGCTGTGGCCGTCAACCTGGTCTAGAGTGAGAAGGCCCAGAACTGGCTTGGCGTCTGGGGCTTGGCTGACTGTATGGTCCGTGTTTCTGGTCAGGCGCGTTCTTCCAGAGGAGTTGTGATTGGATTCCCATCTTCGTTGCAAGCATGGCCCTTTCAGGCATTCCCAGCTGGGATCCCACTGAAAATCTAGGGGCAGAAAACAGGAAGGGTTTTGAAAGAGGAGTGAATGTAGGTGAACCATGTCGTTCAGCAAACAACCGACCAACAGCAGTGACTAGAAGCCAGCCTAGAGCCAGCTGAAGACAGAGCAAAGCTGGGTATTTCCTTGTGTTATAACCAATCGCTCTCCATTCTACAGAATTTCTCAGGAGTCAGCAACTGTTCTAAATTCTTTGCCATCATTGCTTCATTGAAATCTTACAAGAAGGCTTAGGAGATAGCAAATGAAGAAATAGGGACTATGAGAAGGTAGGTGACCTTGAGGTCACATGGGTGGGGAGTGGCCAGCTGAGGGAGGGAGCTCAGATTTAACCTCCAGGCCTGTGCTCTAGCCGATATCGGTGGCAAGGCCAAGCCCTGGCCAGAGATGTGAAATGGGCAGTCCTCTCTCTCCTTTGTTTCTTGCTATTTATTGATAAATGTTTCAGAGCATCCCTGCTACCTCTTCTGTATATTGGGAACCAGTATAAATTGGTGTCTTGAGGTGAGGCCTTTGGATTCACGCACAGTGAATTCAGGTCTTTAGTCTGCTGCTTGCTAGCGATGTTGTCTTGTCAACTTACTTAACCTGTCAAACCTTGTCCCATGAGGTTCTGATGATGAAACCACACAGTGCTGTCATTTATTCCATGAATTTTAACTGGAAACCCACCATCTGCCAGCAATCTGGCTTCAGGTTAATGACAGAGAGCGTTCTGTCCTCATGCAATTCTTTGGTTTTTTTGTTTGTTTTCAGTTTGGGAGTGTGATATTTTTATTTATTATCAGAAATATATATTTGTTATTTATAATAAAAAATACATATTTATATAAAATATATATAATAAGAAATAGATCTCATCTCTGGCAGAGCTCCTAAAACCCTTAGAATTTCCTAAGTGAGGAAAGCAATAAAGATATCTCTTGTTATGTTTTGGAAAGCACCCAAGGATGGGGGCTGGTAGCCAGTGATTCCAACCACGTCATTAGAAGGTTGCAGCTTTCAGTCCCTCCTACTCCGCCCCACTTCCACGGAGGGAAGAGCTCAACCACCAATGGCCAATGACTTAATCAACGATACTCATGTAATGAAGCCTCTATAAAAGGCCAGGGTTCAGAGAGCCTCTGAGTTGGTGAACGCATCCAGGTGCTGGGAGTGGCGAGCCCCTTCACATCTCTTTTATCTGGATGTTTATCTATGTCCTTTATCATAACCTTCTATAGTACACTTGTAAATGAGAGTGTTTCCCTGAGCTTTGTGAGCTGCTCTAGCAAATAATCAAATCCAAGAGGGTGGAATCATGGGAACCTCTGATTTGTAGTCAAGTCAGACAGAAGTTGTGGGTAGGCTGGGGACATACCACTTGTGATTGGCATCTGAAATGGGGGGCAGTCTCATGGGAATGAGCCCTTAACTTGTGGGATCTGATGCTGTCTTCAGGTAGATAGTGTCAGAATTGAGTCAAACTTCAGGACACCCAGCTGATGCCAGAGAGAATTGTTTGGTGGGGGCAAACCCCACAAATCTGGAGAACAGAAGTGAACTGCTGTGTGTAAAAGTGAAGGAGACATACAGGGGGGAAAGACTGGTTCTTCCAATAGAGGGAGTCAAGTAACAAAAATAAAACAAATAAATATATAATGAAATTCAGCCATGAAGAAACATACAACGTGGCTAAGGAGATGAGAGTGAGGGAGGCACAGGGCTGCTCTTGCAGACAAGGCTGTAACATACATTGTTACTCTCTGACTCTTAGGATCTGACACATGGGAGGACTCAGTAACTTGGCCTATTGTTGGCATAGGCCCTTTATTCTGGGTGTTCCGGCAGCTCCCTAAAACCAGAAGGCCCAGGAGGAATGATTTCAGTGGGTGGCATTTCAGACCCTAAGGGAGGCCGGCAAGGCAATGAACATGGCCCTCCCCTCGGGCTGGTCTACCTACAATTGGTCCTGGGTTTTCCTGTCTCTCAGGGAATGAATGCTGAGCAAATACATCTAATTAGTCACATCGGGAAGCGCTGCAATGGCTGGTGATGAAGCAACATAAAGGTCCTGCTGTTCTTTCCTGACCGGGGTCTTGGGTGGGGCCATCCCAGTCTACTCAACAAGTTTTCTTACATTTGCATCTCAGAGCAAGTATTGGGTCTCAATTTCTTTCCTTTCAGAAAGTGCTGGACTCCTTTTGTAAACTGGTTCACAGGAGTCTACAAAGTCGGGCCTTCATGGATCCCCGAAATTTCTGTTTTATTTTTCCCCCCAGGAAAAGTGTTTATTGCTGTTTGTTTACATAATGGAGGAGGCATCACTTTACTGACATTTGCCCCCCAAAAAGGTCTCATCCATGATGACTTTCTGCCAGTGCCTATATAGAACAGAAGTTTCTGTCTCTTCAAAAATGAAATTGGGGGCAGGGTATATATAGCTCAGTGGTAGAGTGTGTCTTTAGCATGCACGAGGTCCTGGGTTCAGTCCCCAGTACCTCCATTAAAAAAAAGAATAAACAAACAAACAACAAACAAATAAACCTAATTACCTCCCCTCCCCCCAAATACATAAATAAATAAATTCTATCCTGCTCTGTGAAAACTCTTCTAACCATGAAGTCTCACACTTAGGGATGCTGGTGCTGTGGCTCAGATGTGCTTGGTTCAGGTCGCTGACTGCTTCTGTCATTTACTAGCTTTGGGAGGATAGCAAGTTATTTCACCTGTTCTCACATACGAACCAGAGACAACACAGCGTCATCCATAGAAGAAACTAACTAACTTGCTGAGGGCTAAAGAGACAATAAATAGGATTCTGAAATAATCAAATAATGAAAAACAAACAAAAGAAAACCAATGAAATAAGCCTTGGGCAGGACCGGGTAGGATGTGGCCTCTAGGATGACTAGATGCAGGGGCTGGAATGCTGGCAGGCTTCTACCTCACATCTTGTTCCCGTGTGTTGGTTTTATATTTTCAGACATCTTTACGCAGTGGGAACATGATCTGCTAACATTTGAAGGTAATATTATTATAGAACTCAGTCACAGAGATAGGAAAGTCTCTTTCCTGTTAATTCCAGCAGAAAAAAGTCTAGGAGAGGACACTGAGGGACCTAGTTTGGGTCTCAGCTGTGACCAGGTTAGTAAGTTTCTCTGATAGTCTTATCTGGAATCACATGACCTCCTTCATGTTCCAGGACACAGGAGGCCATAATGATGAGTCCTCGCCTGAACTATGGGGTTGGAGTCAGGGTGGCCCATTTCCCCAAAGGATGAGGAAGGCTTTTACTACAGATGGGTTGGGGGTGGGGGGCACTGTCAGTAAACCTATTCACCCTCACAAGTTTCTTGTGAGAATTCACCTAAAGGTAGTTCAGTGGAGACACATTTTGTATCAGGATTAACAGGCTGTAAACTCAGAATGTTAGGGGAAAACTCCTCTTCGCTAAAGCCCAGCCCAACTTCTTTACTAGAAGTTGTGTTACATGATGAAAGACTCCTTCTCTTTAGACACCAGGACTGTCTTACACATAGCGAGATACTCACAATGCGGGAGATACTTGGGAACTGAGACCAGCCAGGAGAGAGGGGCTCCTCTATACTTTTAAACCTCTTCCAGGTATAATCTCTGCAGGAGCTTTGACTTGTTCATTAAAGGTATGAGTGAATCACTGGGATTGTTAAATGAATATATATTTTAAAATAAACATATATATTTTACATAAAGATACATACATAATTATAAACTACATATATACACATAATATAAAAGAAAAAGAAAAATACATGAGCACACACACATTTTTCTCTCTTCTCTTCCTGAGCTCTATCTGTAAAGTACACGGTAGGACGCAATAGCATATCCCTGATTAAGCACAGAGCATGGTGTCTGAAACTGATCAAGTGAGCCTAATGTCAGTTGAATCAGACCCTAAATCTCCCTCCCTCCTAAAGGACGATGTTTACCCACCCACACAGCTTACCTTTTTGCTCCTTGCAGCTTTCTCTGGGACTGATGGAGCTGTTTCAAAGATAATCAAAGGAGCTCTCAAAATTCTGAGTGTCAGAAAATATAGGAAAAGAATTTTTAAAGATGTTTCTACTCATGATTTGGAGGTTCCTCAACCTGCTCTGAATTTGTCCTTATTTCTCTGCAACTGAATCTTTCCCCAAGCAAAATGTTCAGTTATTCCTAGTGGCATCTCCAACATTTTGTGCGCATCTATATTACCCACTTGAATGAAAATAAAGGTGCGCCCAACATTCCATTCTATGGGACGGAAAGCACTCAAATACGCTGAGTGGAAAATGTGCTTTTTTTGTTGTGTTGAATTAAGATTCAGACAGCTTCAGAACAGGATGTATTAGACTGTAAGTACTGCATGCCTGAAAATGCCCCTGTGAACCTATCATCAACTTCTAATTCCTTTATTTGGTCTGGAGTCTTTGAAGAGAGGTTAACACCAGTAGGTAGCGGGAAATAGCATACCTTTATTACAGGAAGGAATCTGGTTGTCAGCAATCAGTAGACTACTAATTTTGCCAGAGAAAAATGTGGGATTTATCCATGAGAGAATCTTTACTAGCTGTGCTTTATCCAGAGGCATTTAGTTATCATCATCTTCAGGTGCGTTTACATATTTGGGTTGAATGAAGCTGACTGATTTTTGGAGAGCTCGCGGACTTAATGAAATAAACTGACTTTAAAAAAATAAATAAATCATTTCATGAGAAGTGAGAATTCATTTGCTGAATAATGAACATGGCATATCCCACTTAATTACTTTTCCAGACTCTCCTGTCTCATGCCTGAATCAAGGCTTTTCAAAAGTATGATTAAAACATTCAGAGTATTACAAAGGATATGGTAAGGGAAAAATAGGATTGAGATATGTCCATTTCCTCCTAAAATTATAGAAGTGAATATGGATGCTTTAAAACTGTGTTCCAGGAAATGTGCTAGGACTTGGCACACTGGATTAAGCATCTAGGTCATAAACAGTCTTGGCAGAATCAGTCTTATTATGATGGTTAATATGACAGCTGGATTGCAGTGGGTTATATACATATATATGTGTGACTGGGACAGTGTGCTGTACACCAGAAATTGACACATTGTAACTGACTATACTTCAATTTTAAAAAAAGAATGAATAGATGAAAAAGAGGACATCCTACATGTAGTCCCCTGTTTCAAGTAGCTCGAATTTCTAAAGGGAAAGTATTTCTCTTTTTTTAACATTTTTTACTGATTTATAATCATTTTACAATGTTGTGTCAAATTCCAGTGTAGAGCACAATTTTTCAGTTATACATGAACATATATATATTCATTGTCACATTTTTTTCTCTGTGAGCTACCATAAGATCTTGTATATATTTCCCTGTGCTATACAGTATAATCTTGTTTATCTATTCTACAATTTTGAAATCCCAGTCTATCCTTTCCCACCTTCTGCCCCCTTGGCAACCACAAGTTTGTATTCTATGTCTATGAGTCTATTTCTGTTTTGTATTTATGCTTTGTTTGTGTGCTTTTGTTTTGTTTTTTTAGATTCCACATATGAGCAATCTCATATGGTATTTTTCTTTCTCTTCTGGCTTATTTCAGTTATAATGACATTCTCCAGGAGCATCCATGCTGCTGCAAATGGCGTTATGTTGTCGGTTTTATGGCTGAGTAGTATTCCATTGTATAAATATACCACTTCTTCTTTATCCAGTCATCTGTTGATGGACATTTAGGCTGTTTCCATGTCTTGGCTATTGTAAATAGTGCTGCTATGAACATTGGGGTGCAGGTGTCATTTTGAAGTAGGGTTCCTTCTGGATATATGCCCAGGAGCAGGATTCCTAGGTCATAAAGTAAGTCTATTCCTAGTCTTTTGAGGAATCTCCATACTGTTTTAAAGAGAAGGTATTTCTGTGGTCTGTGCTTTACTTTACAATACTTCAGCAGATGTTCTATTTGCAAATGGATTTCCGTTCTTTTTCATCCGGACTCTCAGGCAGGTGGTTATTCTAATTGGAAAGACATAGACCAGTGGTAGTTATTGGTAG